GAGTAGCTGGGATTACAGGCATGCACCACCACGCCTGGCTAATTTTGAATTTTTAATAGAGACAGGGTTTCTCCATGTTCGTCAGGCTGGTCTTGAACTCCCAACCTCAGGTGATCCCCCCGCCCCGGCCTCCCAAAGTGCTGGGATTATAGGCATGAGCCACTGCGCCCAACCCCATTTTTACATATTTTTAACCCAACCTAAAACATGATAAAATGTACCTCTATGTGTAGAAAGGAAACATGAGGGCTTTCTCTGCTGCGAGCTTCCAAAATAACAAAGAAAAGAAGGAACAGTGGTCGTGCCAAAAAGGGCTGTGGCCATGTTCAGCCTATTTGCTGCACGAACTGTGCCCGATGCGTGCCCAAGGACAAGGCCATTAAGAAATTCGTCATTCGAAACATAGCGGAGGCTGCAGCAGTCAGGGATATTTCTGAAGCAAGCATCTTTGATGCCTATGTACTTCCCAAGCTCTATGTGAAGCTACATTACTGTGTGAGTTGTGTAACTCACAGCAAAGTAGTCAGGAATCGATCTCGTGAAGCCTGCAAGGACCGAACACCCCCACCTCTATTTAGACCTGCGGGTGCTGTCCCACGACCCCCACCAAAACCCATGTAAGGAGCTGAGTAAAAGATTGAAGATAACTATTCTCTGGAGAAAAACAAAATGGAAACTGTACTTGGGGAAAAAAAAAAAAGAAAGGAAACATGAGGATAAGGTAGTCACAGGTCACATTTTCAGATGCAGGTCTGCATACTTTAAATGAAATCCTTAGGACAAGATGCATTTAGGAATTTGGAACTTTGGAGCATTTAGAAAAGTTACCTTGTGCATATATATGGTTCAACACCCCTACAGGCATCTGGGACAGCATCTGGTAATCAAGCATAATGATATTTGTGATAAACAAGAGAATATACTAACCAGGATAAATGAAAGCTGACAGTCTCGGGACAGGTTTTGTCACAATATGAGCTCTAAATAAACTTGATTTTCAAAGCTTTTTAAGTTTCAGAATAGCAGGTAAAGGGCTATAGATCTGTATTTAGAAAACTGTAAGCATTGTCCACCAAAGAATGCCCCAGAAAGAGATAACTGATAAAACCAGTACAAATAATGAAGTTCGCTTATGTTTGATCACATTTTTAAACTGGTGACTAAGATTTTAGTCATTGAATTACTTAAATCTAAGAAAATGTTTAAAGGAAAACAAAATAGGTTTATGCTTGAGTAAGAAGGTGGGTGTTTTCATAATTTATTCCACTCTTAGAATTTGCATTTGTTGTGTTTTTGCTCTGAAATGCATAACTCTGCAGAAACTCAGCTCTCAAATACTAAAATATTTCTGTGGGCTTAGTAAATGTTCATTTCTGAAATGAATTCATTTTAGGTATGCAGATGCATTATTTAAGTCATCCGATATCAAATCAGCCAGTTTAGAGGACCTATGGGAAAATCTGAGTTTAAAGCCTGCCAGCTCCCCTCATGTAAATGTCTTTGCAACTTTATCTCCACAAGGTAAGTTAAAGATGAAACAAAGAAGTAGAAGACTAACTTCAAAGTTATTTAAAATTTTAAAATCTTAACCTTTATTAGGATTTAAATATTCAAAGTACAGAGAAAGAGTACACTCTGTATTAAAGCTGTTTATGTTCAATTTTAACAGAAGTCTTTTATCTTTAACAAATAGATCAGTGTTACAACTCTTGAACACTGACTTTTGTCCAATCAGCTGGCAAAGGTTCAGATCTGAGATGTTTTGCATGCAGATTTGTATTGAAAATATGCTCTCAGATATTTCTTTTTTTTTTTTCCTTTCTTAAACATGAAATTTTTCACAAGTTATTTCTTTTACTAAGATTTTATTAGGTCAAATAAAATTTGAAAATTACATTAAAACATTAACAGAATTCTTTGGTTCTTCCGTGTCTGTGGCAGTAGAATATAGTTTAATGACTTTGATTTCCACCCTCTTTCCCCCATTCCAGTTGTGGAAACCCTGAGTGGAATAATCTGCAGCCAATGGTTTCAAACAAGTTTTTAGCTTGAATGAATCATTCTTTCTTCCAAAGTCCTTATTAACATGTTATATGACTTGATCTCTTATCTCTGACAGATTGCTTTTTACAGTACAAAGAATGAAAAGAATTCCTGTTGTCCAAAGTCTTTTCTCCTACACTCTAAACAAATCTTGGATTGTTTTACTTTGTTATAAGAAAGCACTTCATAAGGTTGACTTTTTCTTTCTTTTTGGCCACAAATTTACTAGCTTAGACCTGCTTAGAAAAATATTGTGGTGGCCGGGCGTGGTGGCTCACGCTTGTAATCCCAGCACTTTGGGAGGCCGAGGCAGGTGGATCACGAGGTCAAGAGATCGAGACCATCTGGTCAACATGGTGAAACCCCGCCTCTACTAAAAAAAAATACAAAAATTAGCTGGGCATGGTGGTGCACGCCTGTAGTCCCAGCTACTCGGGAGGCTGAGGCAGGAGAATTTCTTGAACCCAGGAGACGGAGGTTGCGGTGAGCCGAGATCGCGACATTGCACTCCAGCCTGGGTAACAAGAGCAAAACTCCGTCTCAAAAAAAAAAAAAAAAAAAAGAAAAATATTGTGGTGAGTATATAGTAACTATTAATTGTTACTTTTCACCTTGTAATTTTGCCTGTGTAGTTATTAATGAAGTATGGCAAGAAGAAACAATTGGGCGTCTACTACAACTTGTAGACCTTCCACTTCTTGACTCCTTACTCAAACAGCAAGAGGTTGTACCTAAAGTTCCTCAACCTAAGAGGCAGTCCGACGTGGTCAACAGCAGTAACTATCTGGATCGAGGGATTCTCAAGGCTTATAGTGACTCTCAGTATGTGGAAATACATATAATAATTTGAGTGTGTTTGTACATGGATTGAGATAATGATTTTAAGATAATCTGTTCTGTTTTTTATAGGATCAGATATGCATTGTTAGTTGATATTATCAGTATTTGAGAATGTGAAGAACAAAATTACATTAGTCAAAATTAGAAAAAGATTTGTTTCATTTTTCATATTCATTTTTGTTTCACATGTAAGTTCCACATTAAGTGAAGACAGTGATTGTGCTTTAGCTTCTTATCTTTGTTAAAATGTAGAGCAGTCTGGTCTCTTAAGATTCCTCAAAGGGACCTGGAAGAATAGAAACAGATTTGACAGATTCTTGAGATCCTTTGACTACATATCTAGAATGCCTGTTACATATGTATTTCATTAACTAGCTGTATTAAATGCAATGAGGCCAGGTGCGGTGGCCCACACCTGTAATCCCAGCACTTTGGGAAGCCAAGGTGGGCCAATCAACTAAGGTCAGGAGTTCAAGGCTAGCCTGGCCAACATGGTAAAACCCCATCTCTACTAAAAATACCAAAATTAGCCAGGTGTGGTGGCACGTAATCCCAGTTACTTGGGAGGCTGAGGCAGGAGAATCACTTGAACTCGGAGGCAAAGGTTGCAGTGAGCTGAGATCATGTCATTGCACTGTAGCCTGGGTGACACAGTGAGACGTCATAAAAAAAAAAAAATACAATGAAAGTTAACTCTTACTTCCAGTTACTACTCTCTTGAAAATAAAGTCTAAGGTTTGAAGGCTTAACTTTAGGTGCTAAAGGAATTAAGATTTTTTTCCTTAAGGAAGAGTTCTGTATTACTCATAACTTTGAGGCTCTTCTATAAAAATTATTAAAAGTTAAAGTAAGTTCTCAGGTTTTTCGAGCCTAATTTTTTATTATTTTTGCCTTAGCAGATAGTGTTCCAGTCTAGTTAAGGGGATGAAAATGTTTGAAAGAAATACAACTTACATTTTCAATACTTCACTAGTTCATGTTCCAAAGAACTGTTAATACTATAAACAGTTGACTATCAAAAGGCAGCTTTTAAAGCCTTATAAAATGACCTGCCTGAGATATCTCACCTGGCTGAATTAGTTGTCCTGAGTCCATGGCAATAGAGAGACAGACAAGATAGATATAAACAAACCGAATATTAAAAGTTTGCCACTTTATTTCTTGAAATGTAACATGTTTCTGAAGTTACCCAGCAGGATTTTACTGTAGATTATAATATTTAATTATTTTGTTGGTTTCTTTTTTGAGACAGGGTCTCATTCTATTGCCTAGGCTAGAGTGCAGCCTCCGCCTCTCAGGTTCAAGCAATTCTCCCACCTCAGCCTCCCAAGTAGTTTGGATTACAGGGGCACACCACCACGCCGAGCTAATTTTTGCATTTTTAGTAGAGACGGGATTTCACCATGTTGGCCAGGCTGGTCTCGAACTCCTGTCCTCAGGTGATCCACCTGCCTTGGCCTCCTAAAGTGCTGGGATTACAGGCATGAGCCATCATGCCAGGCCTGATATATAATTATTTTGAAATGTTACCTTCCTCTATTCTGTCTTAGCTAAAGGGAGAGCTAATAGATCATACACAGAGCTCTGAAGTAAGCAACGCTGTGTTGGAGAAATACTGGCCTAGCACTTAGATCTGGGATCTAGCCCTGCCTAAGGCCTGAGCAAGTAACTTGGAGTTTCTTCTCCATTGCAAATGTGAAGAGCAAGAGTAGAGTCTGAATTTGTATGCACTTTTTCACCTCTATATTGTGGTGGAGAGTTTGTTTTCATGAAAAATGAAAAAATAAAACATTTAGCTGAATTTTTTTAAATGTGATACATGATCTACCTATACATTAAAAAAAAAAAAAATACATCTCTTAAGCATGTAGAAATTTATCCTGATGGCAAGCTTGAAATAAGTAGTGTGTATTTGTGTATACTTGTTATTCTTTGCTTTTTATATAATCTTCCTCCCTTCCCTATAGGGAAGATGAGTGGCTCTCTGCAGCAATTGACTGTTTGGAATACCTTCCAGACCAGATGGTGGTAGAAATAAGCAGAAGCTTTCCTGAGCAACCAGACCGAACAGACTTAGTGAAAGAACTTCTGTTTGATGCCATTGGCAGATACTACAGTAGTAGGAAACCTCTGTTGAATCATTTATATGACGTTCATAATGGAATTGCAGAACTCTTAGGTAAGTAAGATCTAATTAGATACTAGCATTTACCTTTTGGAGGAAACAAGAAAAAAGTTAGTTGTTCTCAAACTGAATCAAAATAGTACTACTACAAGCTGGGAGTGGATCTGGATTAATTCATGGAAAGTATGTTTGTTCAAAAACTTCTAGGGCTCATTTGGAAAGAGGCTTTAACAACCTCTGAAGTTATGCAGAAACTTCTGATTACCCAGGGGCATAATGCTGCTCTCTCTCATACCGGAAGATGAAGCATAAAGCAGCAATTCTCTTCTTTAGAAGAGTTACCAGCACCACCACTACTCCCCCTTCATCTCTTTAAAATGGCAGACTCTCTACTTTGTCTCTTTACCAATGAGCCGCATAATTTGTTGGAAACGAATTGGAGGTTTCAGAAAATTCCTCCTATTTTTCTTAAGTAGAGTTGGATACATGAGTATTGTATACATGGTATACCCCAAAATGTACTGAATTAGTGAAAAACAGAATGGGAATTTATCCACAGAGCTAAGAGTTAGATTTAATGCCTGAAGATATTATATGACAGGGACTTAGGGTGTTAGTTGCCAATTTGAGAACAAGCTGCCTTTATGGTATCGACCATTCATTGTTAATTCCTAGTC